CAAGTTAATTATAATTATTGTGTTCGAGGTAGTGCTGTGGGCAGAATTGTTTTGGGGCAATTTCGCCGGGCAGAATGGCAGAATGGCACGGCAGAATGTCGGCAGAATTCGGCAGAATTGGCAGATCAATTTGTAAGCTTTTTAATAATTATGGTGAAATTTCGTTGGTTTCTACCCCTGCATAAGCTCTTCAATGCTCCACCCGCCTGCCACAGTCTCCCCAACAATTCAGCTGTGATAGCTTCTTCATGATCGACACGCTCCAGTTGACTGAAATCAGCCAATTCACCATTGATGATTGATCCTGGTGCCAGAGCGAGAGGTTCTTCGTCCTCCACCTTCTGCTGGAGATCTTACCAGGAATCAGCAAGGTGATTAGGAAGAATATTATCTTGTCCTGTCAATTTAGCCCTGCAACTGCCTTCATCGTCTCTGCAATAGTTACAGCTCCAATAATAGCGGCTTGACTTCCCAGCTTTTTTCTCCCCATGGGTGAAGTGGTTTGCATAAAATCAGGGCGCCTTGCGGCCAGCCTGAATGGCTTCAGGGGACATTCAGGTGAAGGACAGGAGAAAAGAGAGCAAGTGGCCTTGACACTGAAAAAAATACAGTATTGGGCACTGAACTACGAACAATGAGAAACCAAAAATCAGTGCATCAATACTCTCGTGTCCCGCAGCAGCCGGCTGTGGTGCGGTAAAATTCTGCCAGATTCTGCCATCCTCAGGTGGATTAAGCCATTCTGCCTGCCATTCTGCCATTGTGCCGGGCAGAATGGCAGGATTCTGCCAACAGCACTAGTTCGAGGGCTCTGCCTCTCGCAATGGTCTCATCCTACGGATTATAGTCATGCCACGCCGGTGACGAACTAGCAGCAGCGGCGTAGACTGCCAACGCTCCGCGGAGTGCATCCGCCCGGCCGGAGAACCACTGCGATCGCGAGGGCCACGTTATTTTCCCATGATTCTATAGAAACAGAGAGCTTAAACAACGCATACGTATTACAAGTCCTCGGTAAACAAAAATGAACCGTCCCCGAAAATCCTGTCCTCGATTTTAGCAATAGACGGGAGCAGAGGCCACTGCTGAATGGAACGCCGAAACCTGGCGCTGTATGTCTCGTCCCAATCCGTATCGGAGCCTGCTGTCTTCGCTCCAATCAGAGGACCGACAAGCCGCCGGATTATCTCCGTTCCTGTGGGCCTGTTCTGCGGTTTTTGTTCCCAGCAATGTTGAAGAAGAGTCCAGAGGTTCTCCGATGATCTTTCTGGTTTCGGTGGGCGGTGTCCTGCAGTCACTTTCATCCCAACTGCCATATCGTTCACCAGATCAAAGAATGGTGCTTTCCCGGTCAATATCTGTCCCGAACGTTAGAGGGGATAAATCGCTAAAACTTCGACAGACCTCGTAGCAAACACAGGCAAAGGCATAAACGTCGGATCCAAAATGGACCAAACTTTCACCCAAGAGCAATTCGGGCGCTTGATATCGTGCAGTGCCCCCCCGCGGATCCGGGGTCGAATGTGTAAATTCCAATGCCATCACATCGGCGATGGAGGAGAGCCCGAAGTCGGCAATGCAGGCTCTGCTTGATGGAGTAACTAGAACATTCATCTGCATATTGGAGACATAAACGACTGAGGAGTTGGTAAAAACACTAAGTTACATACCGCCTTGAGATCTCCGTGGACTATCCGTTTGTTGTGCAGGTACTCGAGCCCCATTGCCACATCCAAAATCTGGGAACGTAATGTGAACAACGAAGTTCAACCTTGATTAGCCAGAAATACCGACAAGAGAAAGACGATCGATGGGGAGGGATGCGCTCTTTATAAAGTTTAGAAGGTGGCCATGTTCCATCCAGGGCGAGATCAGACAGAGCCTAGTGTCGAGATGATATACACCAAAAAAGGGGAGCAAATTTGGATGGGAAAGCTGGCGCCAAAGGACGGCCTCGCAACCAAATTCCTGCCAAAACGCGACATTGAGAGCATTTCCAGGGAAGGGTATCATTAAACTTTACCTTTACCGCCGCTTTCACGTCAACATTTTGGAATATTCTCATGCTTTTGACGGCGACAGTTTGACCGCCTATTAAACCCTTCCAAATATCACCGAATCCCCCGCCGGCCACTTGATGGCCCACTTTCTGCAACCCGGGTAGAACAAAACATGTAGGATGAAGTCCAGATTCGCGAGAAAGCCTTAGTAAAGCTTTCGAAAGTATTGGTCCAGATGTCGACTCGCAGAAAATATCAAGAAGCTGACATGAACCAGGTGAGCAGAATGCCATTCGGGTCGAAGGAAACGACGTACATCCTGAATAAGATCCAGAAGCTGCTGAGCATGAGTCTCGCGATAGGCCAGAAAAAGTTTGTAGGTCTCCGCATTATTCAACACGAAGACCATCTTTTCTAGAACCGTGGAGACGTCTCGGGACAGTTGCTGTGATATTTCCTCTGCAATAGCAGGACCTGATTGGGTTGACGAATTCTGTTTGGAAAATTAAGCAGTAGCAAAAAATTCAATACAGATCATGCTCACTATGACTTTGAAGCAAAATTTGAACAGTATATCCACGACGTACTGGTAATTCGCAAGACTGGTCAATACGTCCCATTCCGCCCATTGTTTGGATAATTCTATAAGCTCTTTCCTCGGGCTAAGACTCGTCAGATTTTAGCTGGTACACGGAAATGTAGGACGCACCCATCGTAAAGTCTGACCGTATGCAATGTATACGACGCAAAGTTCTGTCGGTATATTGAGTAAAGATGGTTCATTAACCACGCCAATTGGCTCACATGGTGGATCTCCAACCAGGGGCCCGCATATAAATTTTCCAGTTCTAGACTGTAAATTTTTCGCTCCGGCATGATGGGGCATCCGATTGAGGCGATGCCTGGTGAATCTGATGACAAAAGAGCACAAGGATCATGGGTCACATGACCATGATCCGCATCTCCTAACTGGGAGGTCGCAGCGCGTAAAGGACGAAGATCTGAGGTCCCAGAAAGCTCCATTTCCTGTTAGGGGATACCGGCTGTTTGTATTCAAGATTGGGGGAGAAAGGGGGGTTGAAGGTGCGCGCAAGCGGAGCTCATTAATAGGTGGTCGGCGCCGACTCGGGAATCGAAGTCGGGTTCGGGATTGATCCCCGAGATGGAGATGGAGCACTGGTGCTTCTTCCCGCGAAGAGTGCGACCAACATTGTTGCTAATTGCAGAGTTTACTTTCTTCAAGTCTCGTTTCAGCGTCATATGGCGGTTATTTAAGCAAAAATGTGTACCTGAGTGGCGAGGATGGGGGATTGAAGTAGTTCGCAGGTCGCAGGATGTGGGGGTTGATCCAGCGCTCGCACATCGACGACAGCGTGTCAGAAGAATCAAGGTATTTTTGCTCGTGAGAAGCCCTGGACGGAGCGCCGTGATATTAAATTTCCTGGGTGGCACCTAGCCCTCCATTCTTCATGTGGACCCATAAGTCTGTCGAGTAACCGATAGCAGAGGTTACTGAGAACTCAATCAGCTACTCGGAAGGGCTAGGAAATAAAGCGAGAAATTGAATGTGTAAATTCGACTCGGATGCTTATCATAGGCTATAGCTGTTCAGGATGCTGTTGGTTACACGGCAAACAGCAGCAGAATCATGTCCAGGTCAAGTTACCTGATCACTTGAATGATGGCGTGAAAATTTGGGAGAACAGGCGCTAAGATTATATCCCTTCAATGCCAACACGACACTTTGCTGATCCGGAGAGTGTCAAGTCTTTTATACCACAATGAAGTCGAAATTCAAAATTCCACATCCTCGTTATACAGTAAACCCTCCTCCTATCCAAGCTTTAGATTTTTTGGAGGCGAATTAACGAAAGAGATAGGTTTTTACTGTCCCCCCGCGCACGGGCCGAGTACTGTACGGACTCGCAATGCGGAATCGCCAAGAAAAAGTCTTGACGGCTGGAGCCCGTCGGGTTTGACCTGAAAGCAAAAAGTTAGTTCGGGGCCTCGGACGACTGGTATAACGGGTGAGGCACAAGCATTTTTCTAGTACAGTGTTTGTTAAGAGAGACTAGTACTAGGTGAAGTTTGAACTGCCAAACACTGCGTTCAGCGGGTTGATAGCCGGGGGGGTGGCTAATCAATGAACGCTATGGCTATCTATAGTTTAGCTGATGGCCATCGCCTAACCAGGGTCGTATAGCCGCATTGTGATTAGCGGTGGTGAGACCGTGGTTGTTCAGATAGCCGTGCTGCGGGTAGCCTCGGGTAACCCTTGGCTAGCTCGCCCGCCGAACCCTGCCGAACCTCGCCTAGCCGATGCTAGGCGATGGGCAGCCCTAGCCGCACATGGGCTCGACCGGCTAGCAGCGGCTAGCCGGCATCTAGCCGGCACCTCTGGCTATCTCTGGATAGGCGGTGCTGTGGGTATCCGCTCCCTGAACGCAGTGAAAGCTCAATTAACGATTACGGATCGATTATGCCCAGAAGGAAGGATTCTGGCCTCCAGTGCCAAATCTGCGTCAGGCGTTCGTGTATGCTTCGATCGGGCTTAATTGAGGGAGGGATACTTGGATGTAGAGGCAATATTTAAAAGAACCCGATCTTGAATCGCGCGGAGGAATACATGATATTTCTGGGAAGCCCGTCTTGGGGTATATTAACATTGAGGTGGTTATGGCGCGAACTGTGGAATCACAGTTGGTACGGTACCAGACTTGGTTGTTCACTGTTCAAATTCGAGGTCCCTCGTATGCTCATGCAGTGTTGGGTATTTTTTCTTCTTCTTGAGAGGTCCCATATATACCATCGAGCTAGGATTGAATCAGGGCCTGGTGGTCACATCCTCTTCAAATGTAGTGCAAGTGGATAAGTTTATTCAGAGGAAGTCCCCGGTTCGATGCCGGGCCAGGCCGTTCAATTTGTCCAATGTTTTTCTTTCTTTTTTAACTGGAACCTGGAAGAAGGCTCCTATATACGATGTAGTTGGGATATAATCAAGGCTTGGTGGTGTAGTGGCTACACGTCCTCAAAGAATACGAAATCAACTGCTCCTTCGAAGGAAGTCCCCGGTTCGAGTCTGGGTCAGGCCTTTTGTTGTTGATTTTTTGCCAGTTTGTTTCTGAACTCACTCAAAAGCTGGCATATAAGAGAGTTGGGTAACACAACTTCTCCAATCGGTGTTTCAGAGGAAGTTCGTTGATGGAGTTGTTTTTGTCGAAGAGTTCAGGACTTCAAGTCGACGGTACTAGGTATCATTGGTTCAATTGAGATCTGATCATGGCTTGGTGGTGTAGTGGTTACATGTCTTCTTCATGTGAATCGATTAGTCGAAGATGGTAGAGGAAGAAGTCCTCGGTTCGATTCCGGGTCAGGCCGTTGGGCAGCAGAATATCTTTTTTTCTTCTCAACTTCATGGAACCCAACAGAATCCTCATAAATATGATGTAGTTGAGTTTTAACCACGGCCTGGTGGTGTAGTGGTTAAACGTCCTCAAAGAGTGCGCAAAGCAGCGAATATTCAGAGGAAGTCCCCGGTTCGAACCCGGGTCAGGCCTTGTATGATTAAGATTGTCTTTTTTTGTTTGTTTTTCCCCCTGGATTCACTCCACGGGCTTGAGAGGCATGAATCTTGAAGAGTTGCTGTAACACATCCTCAACAGTTCCCATTAATCTTTTTGGCATGGTTTTTAGAGTTCAACTTTGACGATACTAAGTATCATTGGTTTGGGATACAATCATGGCCTGGTGGTGTAGTGGTTACATGTCCTCTTCATGTGGACGGATAAACTTTGATCAGATGGCAGAGGAAGTTCTCGGTTCGACCCCGGGTCCAGGCCATGCAGAAGTGTTTCCCAATTTTTTCATTTTATTGGAGTCAGACTACGTCAGGCCATTTGTGTTTCTGGTTTCAGGGAATATAGTACTTAGTATAAGGCAGGATAACCAATGACCACTTGTATTCCCTGGACGCATAAGCCGGAGTGGAGAGTTTTGGCTTGTACTCGGAATGCAATTGAGGTATGTTATTTTCGCGGCCTAGTGGTGTAGCGGTTACACGTCCTCTGTTAGTGGTTTAATTTCCAAATCCCTGTGCATATTAGGAGGAAGTCCCTGGTTCGAGTCCGGGTTAGGCCTTGTCCATTGTTCTTATTTTCCCACATGGCTTCCAGGACGTCTTCTATGGCCATTCAAACTGTTCGGAGAATCCCTGGTTCGATTCTGGGGACAGCCGCTATGTGTTAGGAGTAGTTTCTTTTTCCTCCATTACAAATACGCCCCTGGGATCCCTTTACCGACGACGCCCTTCCCGACGTCGGGAGCAATGAGAGACTGGAAGGAGATGGATGTTGTTTGTAAGCAATCGATACCGCCGCGTGTTTGTGCGGGAATTACGCCAGACGTTGGACCTGTTTACCATCGTGTATTTTCGTGTGGTGCGACGCTTGCGGCGTAAGCCAAATCCTCCTCTCCAACGCTCACAGAGAACACCAACATCATGGCGTATCTTAATTGAAGTCTCGCTATCTTAGACAACAACCACGACGACGACGACGACTAGCTCGACGACGACGATCAGCACTCCACCGACGACGAGCAGCACCCCACCGACGACGACCCCCACGATGCCCCGCTCACCCAGTGTCCCGCTCCCCCCTCCCGATGCCTCCACATACGAAAAGCAGCCAGGCAACACCCGCCAGGACCTCCTCAACAAATCCGACTCTTCCGTCGACTCTTCCGCCACCCTCGTCCCTCCCCCCCAATCCGCCTCCGTCAAGCGCACCCCGTCCCAATCCCATCCGGCCGCCCCACCCGCCACCGTGAAGCGCGCAGCCTCCGCCTCCGCGCCGACGACACCTGCGATGCCCTCTCGCGCTCCGTCCCGCGCGGCCTCCGTCGCCTCCGAGTCCTCGCACACCTCGCACAAGTTCACGCTCAAGGACCTCCTCGCGTCCGGCCCCAAGCTCTCGCGCCGGAGCAGCGCCCGCAGCGCGAGCAGCCGTGACTCCGAGAGCGAGGTCTCGCATAAGAGCGGCAAGGGTGCGTCTTTCTCTTTCCCTCATTAACTCAGACAATGACTAAACTCATGGCACAGCTAAATCCGCGCGCTCGACCGGCGGCGACTCCTCCGCCTCGCTCACGCGCAAGTACGGCGTCTGCGAAAAGGTCGCCATCGGCAAGGGGGCGACCTCCGTCGTGCGGCTCGCGCACAAGTGGGATCGGACGGAGGGCGACAAGATGTACGCTGTGAAGGAGTTTCGCAAGCGGAGGAAGACGGAGACGGAGAAGGAGTATGTGAAGAAGCTCACGGCCGAGTTTTGCATTAGGTGTGTCTTTTGCGCGGACTTGCCTCCGGGGGGGTAGTGAAATGAGATGGGCTAACCCAAGCGCAGCTCGACGCTGCATCACGTCAACATCGTCGAGACGGTCGACCTCGTGCAGGACGAGCAGGGGCGGTGGTGCGAGGTTATGGAGGTGTGTTTCTCCCTACCTCCCTCCCTCCCTATCTCTATTATTTCTTGCTCTGCGTCCGCGCTCTTTCGTTCTTTTTTTCTGCTTTGTCGCTGTGCCTCTTTGCGTTCTCGGTCTTTCTCGCGGTCCTGTGTCTGCTTTTTTTTCCATTCTATTTCCGTCCCTGCGCGACTTCCGCCATGGTGCCACCTCCCGCTTTTGCCCCACGCATTCCTTCCCATCTCCCGCCTGACGCCACGCCACGTTCGTCCCCGCGTCACCCCCACTTGCCTATCTTCCACGACCCACTCTTGACGTCACCTCGTTCTCGGCCGGTCTGGGTTTGTGGCGCGTCCGCATCGTTCTCGGCCGGGTCTGTGGGCTCGGGTGGATCCGCTTGTGGTGGAGTGGGGCGGGCGGGCGCGTATCAGGATCCGTCTGTGTGTAACGTTGGATCCGATTTCCATGGAAGTGGGTCCGGAACTGTTCCACGGGGAGTGGATCGTGGATACTGGGTCCGGTCGGGATGACGTCTGTCCGTCTGGATCCTATCCTGTCATAGACCCGCCTGGATCCTGGAACTGCGCCAGGGAATCCGGGGTCTCGTCCTCGTCTACACATGGGGTCTAATGGGGCGGGGTGGTGGATTCATCTACGGGCGGGGTGAATTGGCTCCGGGCGGACGGGCGGGTGGCTTTGGATCCGGGAGGTGTTGGACGGGGATACAGGCACAGGCAGCGCGCGGGATGGGATCCCGTTTGGCGCATCGATGTGCGGATGGCGTCTTTAGATCCGGGAGTGGTTTGCGGATGGATCCAGTGCCGTCCGGATCTTTGTTGGCGTGCGTCGGGTGTGCCGCGCCCGCCATGATGCCCGTTTCGTTTTCATATTTTCTTTCTTTTTTCACCTCGATTATTCCGACCATCTCTCTTCCTTCCTTCCTTTCAGGCCTTTCCGGACTTCTTCTAATCGATGCTAACCTCCTCCCCCTTTGACAGTTCTGCCCCGGCGGGGACCTGTATGCTGCGATCAAGAAGGGCGGGATGTCGCCGAGCGAGGTGTGTTTAGGTTCTCTTACCCATCTATGTCTTGAGGACATACCATCCTCCTCGACCCCTGCTTCCCTGCCGCGCTTCCCGCGAAGGGCTCGGCCCCCTCCCGCCTTCCGTCCTTGCCTTCCCTTGCTCCCTCCTGCCCCCTTCACGCTTTCCCCTCTTGCTCCCGTGCTCCCTCCCCCACCTCCCTCCTCCCCGCCCACTTTTAAGTACTTCCCTGCCGTACTTGTTCCCCGCCCCCCTCCCTTTCCTCTTTCCTCCCCCGTATCCCCTCCTCCCTCCTCCCTCCGCCTTCCCAGTTCCACCGCCCTCCCTCCCCTTCCTCCGCCTCTTCCCTCCCCTTGCCTCCCTCCCTTCTTCCTTACCCACCCATAGCCTTTACTTATTCACCCACCCCCAGGTCGAATGCTGCTTCAAGCAGATCCTCTCCGGCGTGGGCTACCTGCACTCGCAGGGCGTCGCGCACCGCGACATCAAGCCGGAGAACCTGTTCTTCGATACCGGGGGGCATTTGAAGGTCAGACGATTTCCTCTTCATTCAGAGGGGTCTGCAGCCGCTATGGCAGCGTCTGCGTCTGTGGGTGTCGTCTGCATCTGTGGGCGTCGTCCTCTCTGCAGGCGGAATACCCTTCCACCCGCGACCCGCGCCCGGGTGCGGTGTTACTCTTATGCTCCTTCTTTTCTCCCCTTTCCCCTTGTCCCCCCCTCCACGCCCTCCCCACTCCCCTCTTCCACCAATTTCTTGCAATTCATCTAACCACCTCCCCCAGATCGGCGACTACGGTGCGTCGACGGTGTACCGCCTCCCGTGGGAGGCGACGATCCACATGTCGACGGGGCTCTGCGGAAGCGAGCCGTACATTGCGCCGGAGCAGTTTTTGGGGAAGCGTGAGTTTGTCAAGTAACATACGTTTTTCGTTACTCACGCGAAGCCTCCTCCCTTCCCTTTCCCTGTTGACCCCGCTTTACCCGTGCCCATCCACTCCCCGTCCATCCACTCGCTCGCACACCCCGCCCATCCATCGACTCGCCCCGCCCCGCAGCCTACGACGCGCGCCTGGTCGATATCTGGGCGTGCGGGATCGTGTACTACTGCCTGCACTTCCAGGAGCTGCCCTGGCGCGCGGCCCAGACGTCCGACCAGCTCTATGCCGCATACGCCACGGCCGCCGCCGCCACGCCCCCGCCCCCACTCGCCGCCGCGCCTCCCGCGTCTACGTCCTCCACCGCGCCCAGCGCCAACGGGACCGCGAACGGGACGGCGAATGGCACGGTCGCGCCCGACCGCGACCGCAACCACACGAACAGCGCGCTCGTGTTCCCGCCGACGATCAGCAACCTGTCGCCACGCGCGTGCCGGCCGCTCATACGGAAGATGCTCGAGCCGGATCCCAAATTAAGGAGCAGTATTGAGGAGGTGCTGGGGTGTGCGTGGATGCAGGGGGTCGAGGTATGCTGGGAGGTGGGGGAGGGGGCAAGGCATGTGCATGTTAATGCGCGGGCGATGGCGGGCGAGAGGTAACGCGGGGTGTGGTGCGGATGGACGGGGGGTGGGTGTAGTGCGGAGGTAGCGAGTGGCGGCTTTCTTGGTGCGCTTAATACATCCATACATACAGATACGATACATACATACATATGATACATACTATACGGCTTTCCCGCTCGCTCTTCCGTGTTTTCTTATCCGTCCTCGCACTTGTCTCGTCCTCATCCTCGCACTTGGCTATTACCTAGTGTTTCCTGTGATCGGTTTTTCGTCGTATTTCGTGCTGTTGTAGTTATCCTCCGTAGTGCTTAGCCTAGGTATTGGAATGTCTGGATAGAGATGCGCTTATGTAGGGCTGGGCTGGGGGGGTTATTAAGCTGTCACTCGCCACGAAACCACCGCCAATGCCATCACTCGTCCTCTCCGCCTTTTTTCATCATGTCAGTTCCAATCGTGGAACCGTCGTGGCAGTATAGCTTTCCTATACCTCCTCCTCCGCCTCCTTCAACGCGTCTGCTGACGCAATATGACCTGATGTAAGGATACTCTATCGTCTTCCCGCTCGACTCGACTGACGTTAGCGCGCCAGGCAACTGAGGAAAGAAGAGCAGCGCGCGAAGACGCGCGTTCGGATGGCGAAGTGCGCATATATATATATGCATTTCCAAATTCGCGTTAATTAATTCCGCTCTAGGTATCGGGCGGGACTCAAGGCGCTGCCCGTTGAGGTGCAGCAAGAGGCGCAGGAACGGGCCCGCGCGGCGAGGGCGAGGTATCGCGAGCGGTGGGTATTCTCAATTTTTTTTAACCTCAATAGTCGTCTCTGACATCCCGTACAGTCACCGCGTGGAGCTCCGGGAAAATGCAAAGTGCAGACGGGCGGGTCAGAGGTGCGCACGCTTGTCTAGTTTTTCACCTATACGCCTATGAACAACCGTCGCCTCTATACACAGTCGATTCCCCACTGAGTGCCATGATGGCGCGGACTCGGAAGGTTTCAAGACGCCTTCGAGCGAATGCCAACTTGGCTCTGCAGCAGAGAGCGCGAGGTGCGCCTGTCTCGTTTTCACTCACCACTTGCAAACTAACCGCCGACTGCATGCAGTCCCACCGAGTACCATGATGGCGGCGCGGAAGTTTTC